TCTCCAGCAAACCACTTCCTGGTTTCCCATGGTAGCCTTCTTGTATCCTGACACCAGGAAGACTAGAGTGAAATTAACTCTCTTAGACCTTTTCTTATAAAAGCACTGATCCTTTTAATGAGACGTCTACCCTCATGACCTAATTACCTCCCAAAGGCTCCAGCTCCTAATATCATCACATTGAGAAGTAGACTTCAATATATGAATTTTGGAGAGACACAAGCATTCAGTCCACAGTACTCAGACTGGAAATTCTTTGGCATCAGAAAGGAAAACTGTGTGAAGGCAGACCAAATAAGAGCCTCTGTATATCCATATCTACAAATGTGAGGATACGTGTTTCTGCTAATAAAATATTTTACCTTCAGAAAGGAAAACTGATGCCAATAATATTTTTCTAAGGAGACTATTGAATGTTATCTAACTTTCAATAAGAAAGTTTAATCATCACAGAAATATATCTCGAATATAAACACACATACATTACCTGTATCCACATACTGGAAATGATAGTTATTTGCATATGCACAGACACACTTGTGTGTAACTACTTAAATGAGGCACATTTCTAATGTAGAGTTTATGTATATAGCATATATAAAATCTTTGAGTTTTTAGGACTTAGCCTCTAAATTTCACCTATTTAGATCATCTCTATGTTCCCAGTAATGGCAATGGGGAACTTGGAGTCTGGGCTGAGCTAGTTCTCACTGTTTGTTAGGAAGGGAAGATGAGTAAGTGAGTTTTGGTGACTGTGTGCTCTAACAGGTGAAGTTGGGAAGGACTTAGGCTTACTCTAAGAATTACTTGTTATTTAAAAAACTCTATACATTTTAATCTCTGATATGTTTATGTATTTTACTGAAGGTAAAATATTTTATTAGCAGAAACATGTATCCTCACATTTGTAGATACGGATATACAGAGGCTCTTATTTGGTCTGCCTTCACACCAATTTCCTGCTTAGGCCCGATGCTCCAAGTCATTCACTGTATTGCACAGTTACTGAGCACGTACTGCAAAATGGCACAACTAGCAAGATAGGGTCTCCTTTATGGAGTACGGCAGGGGAGTGAGAAAGAAGGGAGAGAGAATAAGAGCTAGTAATAGATGATAAATAAGAAAACAAAGCGTGACTTCAGACAGAGCTAAGCACAGTGAAATTAAGTGCCCTTCTCTTCTCATCCTGTACCTTCCCCACTCTGCCTTACCACCTCTTACAGACAATGTCTGCTGACAACCTCCTCTACCCAGTCACCATTCCAGTTTCCTCCTTCTGTGAACCCACTGATCCTGCCTCTACTTCTGTCATGCCACTTTACTGCATTTGTTTGTATATTTGTCTTATCTTTCCCAACCAGACTCTGAGTCTTTCTGCAGTAAAGATCCGTGTGTTTTCTTAATAATTTTGTAGTTGTAGTTCCTGGCACATATCCTGTTTTTGTTCTTCATCATAAACTCTGAGACATACCATATAACATTCAATAAATGCCACTTTTACCAAATGTGTATGACTTTAAAATTTGCATTCTTTCTAATAAATCTATTGCCCTGAGAAAAATTAATTTGAAAGAAACAACATATAACATATTCAATTGGTGCCAATTACCTGAATTAATTAATTTAAGGAGTGAAGGAGCCTAGGAGTAGGAGCCTGCGTATTATTGTCTCCTGCTGACTTGAGGCTTTGTAGGAATGACTGTGTTCATGTGATCATAGTCTTCTACAAAAGTTTTAGGCTGTCCTTATTAGAGCCAAGTTCTATTATTCTAATCCAATATCTCTTTTTTTTCCTTTTTTCTTTTTTTGTTTTTGAGACAGAGTCTCACTATGTTCCCCTTGGTAGAGTGCTATAGTGTCACGGCTCACAGCTCACAGCAACCTCAAACTCTTGGGCTCAAGTGATTCTCTTGCCTCAATCTCCTGAGAAGCTGGGATTACAGGTGCCCACCATAATACCTGGATATTTTTTTGTTGCAGTTGTCATTATTGTTTAGCAGGTCCAGGCTGAGTTCGAACTCGCCTGCCTCAGTGTATGTGCTTGGTGCCCTAACCACTTAGCTATTACCCAGTGTACCATATTAAACATTATTATAACTCAGGATCCACATTTAAGTGATATGAGAAATTGAATGGAACAGGAAGATTGTGTAGTGGAGTTGAGAGGCAAGCTCAGGAATACCAAAAAATATCTTATATTTTTCAGAACCCAGAGAACTTGTTTCCAGAAAAAGTTAGAATAATTTGAAGACTGTGGAGGTGCTGGAATTTCCTGTATTTGAAAGAGCACTGTGATCTTACTATGGCTTCAGGCCATGGATCCCAGGGCGCTAACCAGCCTGGGTCCTTATTCTGTGCCACCCAAGGACTACCAGTTCCTGGGAAAACCGAGGAAAAGTTCTTGACATTTCAATAATAAAGAGCTTCTTATGGTGATCTAGGACACATCTTAATGATAAGGAGTGTCATGAAAGCCAGAGTACTAACCCACAGCTTTACATACTAATGAGAAAATGCCTCCCATTTTTACCAAAGTGGTTATTTTAGAACATGCTAAAAGCGCTATTAGGCATAAGTACCACTGATGGTACTGATTTTATTTATTTATTAACAGTATTTATATTCTATTGCAGTTCTTGGCTGGGGCTGGGTTTGAATCGACCACCTCCCATATATGGGGCTGGCGCCCTACTCCTTGACCCACAGGCACCACCCTACAGTATTTATATTTGGAAGTAGATCTCATTCTGTCACCCAGACTCAAGTGTAGTGGTACTATCATAGCTCACTATAACTCAAACTCTTTAGCTCATGGGCTCCTATTGCCTTAGCCTCCAGAGTAGCTGAGACTATAGGCATGCACCACCATGCCTGGCTAATTTTTAAAGTTTTTATTTAGAGACAGGGTCTCATTATGTTGGCTGGGCTGGTCTCCAGCTCCTGGCCTCAAGCCATTCTCCTGCCTAGGCCTCCCAGAGTGTTGTGATTACAGGCATTACCCACCAGGCCTGGCTAGGAGTTGGATTTTTTAAGAGTTACATCTAAAAATGTTGCTTATCAAGAGGCCGGCCTATCTTTATGGCTTTGTGCCCCTCTGTACTCCCTGATGACTTTTATCAAGGACAGACAGTTCTGGAAGCATGTTTAACTCCTGAGACTTGCCTCTACTTTCAAGACAGAACCCAGCAGTGCGTGGGAAAGCCTGAAGTTACATGAAGTGTGTCAGAAGACTGGGGTCTTCGTCAAAGTTACCAGCACACATCCACAATATTTGTAGCCATGGACTTATTTTTTAGGTCAATTTAGGAAATGAGTAGCAAAAATGTGTGAGTAGCAAAATTTATTTTCTATTTTTATTTTGCTAATGGAAAATCTGAATCAGAAAGATGCTGAATTAGTGAAACTCAGAAGAAATGTTGTTAGTGGTAAAGCAATGGACTTTTCCTATATTTTTAGATAAGATCTTAGTATTAAAGGACAAAAAAGAGTGGAAAAAGATTAATAAGGTATAAAAATTTGTAATAATAGAGGGTAAGTCCTATTTCATCATTGTGATACCTATTATTCCTAACATCTAAAATAATTATGATTTATGGAACATATACCCTGTGTCAGCTAATATACTAGCACTTTCATGTAATTTTCTAATTTCATTTTCCCAATAGTATATGGTAAGTATCATTAGTTACACTGGCAATGATAGGGAAATTAAGGCTTAGAAATTTAAAGCAATTTGCTCAAATTCTTATTGAGATAGTAAGTTGAAGAGGCAGGATTGGGAAACCAAATATGTATGACTTTAAAATGTGCATTCTTTCCAAAGTATCCATTGCCTTGAGAAAAATTAATTTCAAAGATCAAAGAACACCATCCCTCATTAAAAATGTTTTTAAAAAATAAAACTGGTGCTGCACTTCAGACTTTTTTTTTAGACATTAACTCACAGTAATAATTTTTAAAGATTTAATTTAAATGCATTGACTTAATTAATTGGCATGACCAAGTCTAAGCCATTCCTGAGGAAAGAGCTCAGCTAAGTGCAAGCATGTCCCATTGGTCTTTCTAACTTCATCATAGTTTTTAAGTCTAAAATAACAGCTCATGGTAGGATGATGAGAATTCAAATACATTGTGCTAAAAAGCAGGAGAGGCAAGTTCTGGAAGATCAAATAACAAGTACTGCAGTAGAGGCTTAAAATGTGGCCCAATATCAACATCGCATGAAGTTTTACTAGAACAAATGACCTTCAAGACACAGGGAGGGAGAACAGAGAGGGGTGGTAGAACAGATAGAAATTCAGGACTTGAAACAGAGGACACACTGTAAGAACCATGCCAAATTATCTTAAGACCATTACAAGATAAACTGAGGTTATTTTCTCAAAAGTCATTCAATGTAAGCATGCTAAACGTTTCTTACCATATTTGGGTGTTATTTGATTCACACTAAGGGAACAATCACCTATGTGGTTTTCAACAAATCCTGTTATATCGTCCCATTGGTTATATATAACATTCCTTATTTTTCATAAACATAATTAAAATTTCATGCCTCCAGTTGAGATAAGCACCATCACAGTTGAGTATAATCACCTGCATGGATCTCACAGTGAGACATCTTGTACATAACTATTGAGATAAACTATCTTTTTAAGTTTCTGAATCATTTGCTTTCTACAGCTTCCCAATGCTTAAATTGGGTAGGGAAGGGAGAAAAAAAGAGGAAGGTAGAAGAAAAATATTACCTTCACTAGAGGGAGGGAAAAAAACAACCCAGCAATGTTAAGAGTAACTCAGAATTGCCTTTTAAAGTATTGAATCATATAATAATATTTTCTATAATTCATAAGTCCCATTTCCTCTGTGTGTGTGTGTGTGTGTATATAGAGGTGGCGTTTGATTTTCTTCTCTGACTTGAGTATTTCCTTTGCAAATGGAAGAATAGCAGAAACAGAGCTGGGCACAGGGCAACATGGGACAAGTGATTTCTTTTTGGTTACCTTGTAGTTTCTGGTTGTATTCTGTTCTGTCAGACTGGCTCCTCCTCAAGGCACCAGAGTGGTCCCCAGAAACAGTGCTCTCAACCATAGTGTCAGTCTTCCTTCTCTCCAGCATGTAGAGTCTGGGCCTCAAGAAGGTCAGATTCTTTTTCTTGGTGCCCATGTTTTCTTTCCCAGTGGCTTCTTTGGGCTCCATCTTGGCAAAGATAAGCTTTAGACTTGCAAGCAACAGCTGACTGCTAAGGTGCCTCAGGGTGAGGGTTAAAGCCACTAGAGTGACGGGTTTATCTGCCCCTTTCTAACTAGACTGCTTCACTCCAGGGTACCTGGCTGTGACTGCTACCTGTATGGGAGTCCCAGAGCTCCACCCCTATGAGGTCATTCTTTTTTATACCTAGAATCCAACAGGGGAAGCTGCCACCTGTTACCTGAGAGACTTGCAGCACAGCGCTAGGCAAAGCAGGGACTGTGCTGTCACATGCTACTCAAGCAAACAAAAATCTCATTGTGTGGGGTGAGTGCTGGGGGTTGGGGGAAGAGGAAACTGAACAAGGTGAGGCAGGGAGGAAGTACACACCAGCGTAACCTACAGCTTATGGTTTAATGTGTGCCCATGGGTGTGTATAGGTGCTCTCGGGACACTGCCTTGTGGTCTGCTGGCTGAAGGCAGACCAGCCTTTGTGTGTGGCTTTGGGCTGTAGTTACTCACCCGTGACCCTCCCAGAGTCAGTGCAAGGCTATGAGAATTTGCCTTTGCATTGCAAGCTGAGTACAGAATCATTTTTAATGATTACTGTGTGCACTCAGAGTAATGCATCCACCTTTAAACATTGCACATTCAGAGATTATTTACTAAAAATATACTTGTCAAATCCTGATTCACATTCCTGAGACCAGGAGAATTCCCATTTCAGAGGGATCTGGCAGCAGGCAAAGGGAGCGGAGGGGGACACCCGTGGAGGCCTGGAGCGTATTTCGGATTTCTCCCTCTCAAGGCTGCCCGGGCCTGAAATTATTCCTTTCATGACCCATCCTGTCCTTCAGTGCTCCTTAGGACAGGTCCTTAGGTAAATAAGCGCTGTGTCAGGGTTTGATTGCTATAAGATCTTTTCCTGTCCCTTTCACAGATATAGTGACAGAAAAGGCCAGTTTGCCTTGGGAATACAGAGAAGGAAAACTGTTTGAAACTGAAGAGGAACATAGAAAGTAGGAGGGATAGAGAGCCAGCGCTGGGAGAGAGAAAGGCAAAGAGCGATGGGCCTGTCATTCATTTCTGGGAAGTTGTTTTTCCTCATATTTACTGAGATCTCCCAAGGGGGAAACGCTCAGAAGCTCTGGGAATGTGCTGAGGATTTGTGTGCCCTCGTTAAGGACAGGAGAGGCCCTCAGGAGGAAGACGGGTTGCCTTTGATTGAAGGACCCGCCCCCCCCAGGTTCAGCTATCGCTGCCCACTCTGAGACAAAATTTTTAAGTGAGGAAAAAGATACAAAAATCATTTTCCCAACTCAGGATGTGTGGGCTGAATACAATTTGCATAATTATCTTGAAAGATAAATGACAAATCTTCTCTTACTATAGAGACATCTATATATAGCTTGGCATAGTGAATGGCTTTTATTTAATATAATTAATAGTCTTTTTTAACAAACCTTTCCAAAGGTATTTAATAACTACTTGCAAAGGCGTATTTGCCTCTAAGATGTAAAATGAGCTTTTTGGATTTATGTTAAAAATATCTCAATTGTTTTCTAATATTATATATGTATGTATACAATATTTTTTTACCTGGTAACTACCAAGTATATATTATTTATAGTGCCACTATAAAATTGTGCAATTAAAACTGTAGAATTTATTGGAAATAAGAGGTTTAGGGACACAGCACTCAGAAACTTTGTCAGTGGCCTATAAAAACAGATAGAAACCTAATAAAAATGGCATCATGGTTTTATACATGATAAATGTTTACGAAATACATAAATGCTACATAAATATGCCCCTTTATCTTGAAAAAGACCTGGCATTTGCTTATGGATGGACCTCAGACAGACCACAGTCTGTCTGTGGACTGTCTATAAGTGGAGAAGCATCATTTGGAATCAGAGGGAAATGTAGCACAGGTGGATGGGCATAGCTTGTAACACAGGCAGTAAACTGAGAGAGGTGGTGATGTTTGAGAGCTGTGTGTATGTTAAGCGCTCTGGGTATTATGATGCAGCTCAGGTCATCTGGATATGGTTTTCTGCATTCACGCAAAAACAAATATGAAATTGTGTTATGTTCAAACAGTTTCCTAATACATCAATATTGTTGAAACAAATTTGTGTTTTCAAAACAAGCATTAAGGCAGAACTTATCATAGTAGCTTTAATATATAGTCCTGCATTGCTTAACAACATGGATACGTGGTACACTCTGAGCCATGTGTCGTTAGGCGATGTTGTCATGAGACATCATAGAGTACTTGCACAAACCTAGGTGGTGTAGCCCACTGCACAACCAGGCCACATGGAACAGCCTATTGCTTTTATGCTACAAACCTGTTCGGCATGTTACTGTACTGAATACTGCAGGTGAATGTAACACAGTAATGGTAAGTAAGTGTCTTAGTCCATTACATGTCGCCATAAAGGAAATATCAAAGACTGAGCGATTTATAAAGAAAAGGGATTTATTTGGCTCGTGATTCTGCAGGCTGTACAAGAAGCATGGTTCCTGCATCTGCTTCTGGTTGGTGTTTCAGGGAACCTCCACTCATGGCACAGGGGGAGCAAGTATGTCACATGATGAGAGAAGCAAGAGAAGGAGGAGGGAGGAAGCTACTTAGAAAACCAGCTCTCCTGTGAACTAATGAAGCCAGAACTCAGTCTATCCCTGAGTGAGCTACATCCATGAGGAAGCTGCTCCCATCACCCAGCCTCCTCCCGCCGGCCCCACCTCCAACACTGGGGATCAGATTTAACATGAGATTTGAAGGGGCCAGACATCCAAACCACATTAGTATTTGTGTATCAAAACATACCTTAACACAGAGGAGGTACAGTAAAAATACAGTATTACGATGTTATGGGACTTGTCGTATAAGCAGCCTCTCACTGACTGAAACACTGTCATGCAGCATATGACTGCATTTTTTACTTTGAACAGTTATGAAGATACACAGCATAGCTACTATGAGTTCAGTGGTAAACATATATCTTATTTATTCATAATAGTTTCTGTGTAAACTCTAAAAATAATTTCAAAACTATCTTTTATGCAATCAATGAATGAGGCGGACACTGTTAGTAGCTTACTCAATCTTCTTTCCTCTCACCCTCTATCCCCATGCCATTTCTTCCCATCAGAACCATTATTTTATTTGAGATAGTATCAGGCTTGGGCCAATTAATTATAATTTTGTTCTCTATTTTTCCAACTCCCTTGCTGCTAGAGGTGGCCATGTATCCCCAGTTCTGGCAAATGGGATCTCAATAGCAGTCTGCTAAAATAAGAGGTAGAATTTTAATTCTGGGAAAGCTTTTGCTTCTTTAATAAAGGGGGAAGTCACAGCTGACTTCAATCTTCCCTCTTCCCACTTTTCCAGACTTAATCATAGGTATACTGCAAGAAGGAGTCAGCCATTCCTGAGAAAAGACTAAACGATCTGTGGGCTCTGATACTATGGAGTTACACAACTAACACCAGCAGCCATCCATATTGAGACTGCTTGTTATAAGGGTAAAATAAACCTCTCTCCGAAAAGCTGTTGTTGGTTGGAGTTCTTATGAATGCATTTCTAACAGTTTTAACAGACAACGGTTAGTATATATACAGATTCACAATTCTCTTGCTTAATTAATTCCTTGACATTTCTTAAGCCATGAGGCTTGTGTTAGCAGAAAACATAATTTTATTTTGGTAGAAGTGAGAACAGCCAGATCAAAGCGATCTTGAGCGTTTTGGTACTGGGGCACCTTGCTAGGGAATCAGTGATGCTGAAGGAGTGTGGCCTCTTAGCTGTCTATGTCAATCTGTATGCATCGAAAAGTACAAAAATAGGGAGTTATATGAATAAAATATTGACATTAAGACATTTGAATATATTTTATTTGAATGGGAAACAAGTGGTTCCTCGTTCATTATTAGGAAAAGCACTAGACCAGTGAATTTTCAACTGGTATGCCAGGAAAAATTTTAAAGATCATGAATTAAATTATTTTCAAAAGAAGCTCAAAGCACAGTAAGTATATTCCATTTTCTACTCTTTGGTTGTTTTTTTTTTTTTTTTGATCAACATAATTTAAGTGTGCCATGGAAGTTTAACTGTAGGTTCAAGTGTGCCATGAGATAAAAAAGGTTGAGAAACACTAGACTAGACAGCAACTCCAAGACTCAGTCTTGGCTGTGATGTACATCAGCTTCGTGATATTACAACTGACATAATCTCTCTGTGTCCCATTTTCGTAATTGGTAAAATGTAAGGGAGATTAGTCATTAGTGCTATTCACTGAGTATTTTTGGTTCATGGACGTATTACATTGCTCTGTACCCTTTCCATTTATGCATGACCATGAAACTTGCTTTGGCCAATGAAATTAATTAAAAGTGATGTATGTCACTCTGGGGGAAAGTATTAAGAGCATAGTGTATGTTTTGCTGTAGCTTTCTTTCCTTCATCCATGGGGCTGGCAAAATTCCAAGCAGTGGCTGCTGTTATTAGGATGAGTCTTGGAATGTAGATGACTCAGAGCAGAGCTCTCAGACATCCCATAGTAATTCTGTACTTTAAGCAGGAAAGAATTCTTTGTTACTTCAGGCTACTGAGATTTGGGGCTTTTTATTACCATGGCATAACCTAGACTATACTTATTAATGCAGGGTATAGATTAAACAGTACATAAATCTTTTTTAGGTTTAGCATTATGTGATTTCAAAGGATTCAGTGACCCAAGGTGCTTATTAGGTTGTAAAACTTATAATTCCAAAACAGAAGTCACATCTCTTGAATAATGTTATAAATAAGCTGGATTGGTGGAAGGAGAGAAAAACTTAGGAAATTATTCTGGGGAGTCCAGGCAAGAAATGCTTAGACTACAGTAGTGGTGGCAGGCATAAAGAAAAGTTGATGAATTCTAAATATCTTTTAAAAATTGTACTGACAGAATGGTTTGATTGAGATAGATGAGTAAAAAGATGATTGAAAGATGAATTCC